GGGGCACTGGGGGGCACCGGGGGGCGGGGCTCAGATGGAGATGCTGTTCTCCGTCTCCAGCGGGTTCATGTAGCTGTATCTCAGCTCCGCCCACTGGTTCCTCTCCTCGATTGGCTCCCGGATCTCCTCCAGTCGCGTCTGGAAGCTCCTGAGGAGGCGTCGGGGTTCCACCTCGGTGAACCGTTCCTCCGGGTAGTGTCCCAGGAACCTCTGGTGGTGGGGGACACATGGGGATGGGGACCCATCAAGCCCAACCACGTGGCCTGAGGTGTCTCAAGCCACGTTGGGAGGTTGTCTCTGAGCCCCCTGGTAGAGGTAGAGCGGTGGTGGCCACCACCCTGGGCTTGGGGACGGTCAAGGTGGTGACATGCACCCGTCCCCCTCCGGTGAGGGCACCTCTTGGGGTTCCTCAGCCCCACCGAGCCGCCGTTGTGGGGGAGGTCCCGGTGAAGGCGGTGGCCAGACTCACCATGTCCTTGAGGCGGGAGCTGAGGAGGATGAGGGCCACCAGGATGTTGGCGGTGGTGTCCACCTCGGGGACGGTGTCAAGGAAGTGCTGGAGGAAGGCTCTGCCCTTCTCCGCCGGCGGTGGGTGGCGCATGGAGGACGGGGCGTTGGGGAGGAAGGCGCCCAGGTCATACTGCAGGGGAAGAGGTCACCGTCAGCAGAGGACATCCCTCTGGGAGGGGGATGGGGAGGTTCTCCTGAGGTGGGGTGGGGATGTCCCTCTGGCATGAGGACAGGTTGGTTGGGGACCTTCTCCTGAGGTGGGGTGAGGACACCCTTCCAACATGGAGAGGGGATGGGTGGGGACGTTCCACTGGCATGGGGACAGGTTGGATGGGGACCTTCTCCTGAGTTGGAGTGGGGATGTCCCCCTGGTATGGAGATGGGATGGGTGGGGACGTCCCTCTGGCATGCAGAGAGGTGGGACACGGGCACCTCCCCCGGAGCGGGATGGGGACAACCCAACTGGTGGAGGACATCGCTCCGGTGTGGGATGGGGCCAGTTGGGGACATCTTTTGGGGTTATGGAAGGGTCAGAGGTCCCCTGTCCCACCTGCCCATTGTTGACGGCCGCGTGCTGCACCGAGCAGGTGAACATCACCATGGTGAGGAACTTGATGAGCTCCGCCACCGTCTGCAGCGTTGAGGGGACACCTGGGACGGAGGGGACAGCAAAGACCATCGGAGACACGTCCTTTGTCCCCCACCACCCCCCATCCCAAGCCG